AAATTTAGAAACACTCTACATACATTTTAACATGGAGCATGCTCGAACTTGTGCCTCCTTCACAATGGGCAAAGTTACAAACCAGTTGATCCACCGCACTTGTTCTGTCAAAGTACTACACAACATTATATTTATTCATTTGGGATGAGCCGGCGGTTTGAACGGTTGAACCGATTAAACCGACTAAACCGAGAACCGGAGGTCAAATGGTTTGACCTCCGGTTCAGTTTTTAAAACTTTGGGTGGTAAGATAAGTCCTTCCCTGCTCAGTTTAAAGCATTTACATAATTTGGACCTCAGCAACAATGATTTTGGAGGAATTAACATTCCCAAATTTCTTGGTTCTTTGAAGAGTTTGAGAATCCTTAACCTCTCCAATTCAGGATTTGGAGGGGAGGTACCTGATCATCTTGGGAATCTCTCCAATCTGAAATATCTCAACCTTTATGACAATAGTTTACATATTGAGAATCTTCACTGGTTGTCTGGTGCTCCCTCCTTACAATACCTTGATATGAGTTGGATGCACCTTAGCAAGGCCTCCAATTTGTTTCCTATGGTAAATACCCTTCCTTCCTTGGTAGAGTTACACTTGGCAGCCTGTCAACTAGGGTCCCAGCATCAAATCCATCCCATAACGAGAGTAAATTTATCATGTCTTGTTATCCTTGATCTCAGTTTTAATAAGTTCAATAACTTATCGATGATGAATTGGGTTTTTGGTCTTACCAAGCTAATTTTCCTTGATTTATCATACAACCTATTTGAAAGTCCAACCCCTTATGATATTCAAAATTTAACCCTTTTAAAGCACTTAGATTTGTCTGGCAATTTTTTCAATTCTCCAGTACTTGATTGGTTAGACAACTTTAGCCATCTTCAGTTTCTTGACCTTTCTGACAATGATATTAAACGTGAAATCCCAATTAGGTTAATAGGAAAACTTTGCAACTTAAATTTCTTGAGTTTCTCTAATGTCAATTTGAGTCTAGACATATCTCATATTTTAGAAATCTTTTCTGGATGTATTTCTAACTCATTGGAGTCATTATACTTAGATAATTGTCAACTCTTTGGATCGCTAACGAATGAACTCGGGAATTTAAAAATTTTGAGAGAATTGGTTTTATCAAATAACTCAATCTTTGGTTCTATCACTGTTGTCAATTTCGTACCGTATCAATTGGTACACTCGGTACGTATCGGTTTTCTCTTTAAATCGAAACGGTACAAGGTTCAATTTCGTTTCGATCAAATTTCATCCATTTCGATCAAATTTCGATGTACTAGCCGGTATTTCGACGTACTAACTGATACATCGAAAATGGGTCTGCACAAATGAATTCAAATTTAAAAAAGATAAATTTCATTTTTAGTCCTCAACTTTAATGTTTTGCATAATTTTCATCCTTTAACTTTTTTATGTATTTTTTTAATCCATCAACTACGAAAATTGCATTTTTTTTAATCAATTCAAAGTTAATGTTTTGTATAATATTAAACTCAGAACACTATTATACTTTCTAATATTATCTTAATATTTAAAAAAAATTATGGATGTTTATAAAATTGGTTATTTTAAACTTGTTTTCAATTTATAAGAATATGATAGTTTTAAAAATTAGTTTCTCTTATCATTATTTTAAAATTTGATATTTAATTTATAAAAATATATATTTAAAGCGATAAATCCAAAATTGTACACGAAAAATTCTGGTATCCGGTACGTACTGTTTCAGTAGCAAAACCGATACGTATGCCAGTACGGTATTGACAACTTTGGGTTCTATACCAACATCCATAGGTGAGCTTCAATCCTTAAAAGTGTTAAGTCTTTTTGGAAACAAATTAAATGGAAGTCTTCCTAAGTCATTTGGTCAGCTTGCCAATTTAGAAAATGCTGATATTTCACAGAATTCTTTTGAGGGTACTGCTTCAGAAATTCACTTTGTTAACCTCACAAAATTGAAAACTTTCAAGGCTCATGGAAACCCTTCAATGATTTTGATGGTCAATCCTTATTGGGTTCCTCCTTTTCAAATTTTGGAGTTAAGATTAGGATCATGGCATTTAGGTCCACGATTTCCACAATGGCTTCATTCTCAAAACTATCTAAAATATGTAGATATTTCCAACTCAAGAATTTTAGATGCAATTCCTAGTTGGTTTTGGAAGTTGTCATCTCAATGTGTATATCTAAATATTTCTCACAACCAAATCCATGGGCAACTTCCAAGCGTGTTAAATAGTTTTAGTCCTATCTTCTCCTGTGTTGCTTTTGATTTTAGCTCAAATAACTTCACTGGTCCATTAGCCCGCATCTCCTCCAATATTTTTTTCTTAGAACTTTCCAATAATAATCTCTCAGACTCCCTTTCTCATTTTTTGTGTCATGATATGAATGAATCCATGGCCATGGAGTTTCTCAATATAGGAAAGAACTTTTTATCTGGAGAGTTAACAAATTGTTGGAGTAAATGGCCATATTTGAGAGCCATTGTATTAACAGACAATGGATTAACAGGCGAAATTCCAAGATCCATTGGAACTTTACCTTGACTTGGTAGTGTTGCATCTTCAGAGAAATTACCTTTCAAGAGAAATACCACTGGCTTTAAGTACTTGCACAAAGCTAGAGATGCTTCAACTTAGTGAAAATGAATTGGATGGAAGAATCCCACCATGGAGGCCAAAACCCACTTTTAGCCCCTCACCTTACAAAGTTTGAAGGTTTTAGCCCTTCACCTTATACTATGACACTTTTAGCCCTTTATCTTACTAGATTTGTATGTTTTAGTCCCTTACCTATTAAAATTGAAGAATAGCCCTCAGTTTAGACTGACTATTAATTTTGTTAACTGAAAATAATTTTTTATCAACTAATAGTCAATTAATAGTCAATTAATAGAATTAATGAAATATTATAAAATTAGTTCTGTTAACTTTGTTAGTTAAAAGAAGGTTTTTGACAGTTAACAGTCAACTAACAGTCAACTAATAAAGTTAATAGTCAACTAACAGAACTAACAAAATGTTACAAATTGAGAGTTATTCTCTTCAATTTTAATAGGTAAGGGGCTAAAAGTGTCCTAGTATAAGGTGAGGGGCTAAAACCTTCACACTTAACAAGATGAGGGACTAAAAGTAGGGTTTTGCCCATCATGGATGGGTCATAGCCTCAATCGAACCAGTTGGTCCAACCGGTTGAACTAGAACCGATCACAAATCGATTCAAGTTATGACATAAACTTGGTTTGTAATAAGACCCGATCAAAGTTAGTCAAACTTGATCAAAACTCAGAAAACGTGATCAAATTCGTTCACTTCTGAACGGGTAAACCATTCGGTTCACAAATTTTGAAAATTTTTAACAAGTTTGTGCACTCAAGGGGATTCGAACCCCACACCTTCAACACTCATTTTGAAGCTTTCACCGTTGGGCCACCAACACCACTATTGTTACTTTTACACAAAATTTTATTTATTTAGATAAAATAAAATAAAATAAAGCATGTATTTATATAATTTTTAACAATTAATTATTTTCTAA